CTTAATTCATTTCTGAAAAAAAAACCAAACTTTTCTCTTAAGAAAAGAAACAAATCTCAACTCTCATGATAAATTAGGATATAGATTTCCCGACAAATCATTGAAAAATTTCCCTTCTCATTTCTATGGGTGACCTGTCTTTCTCAGTCTTGGATCTTCTACCAGAGGCCTGGAGTTTGAGGGTTCTGTGCAATATCTTACCAGTTCCTAGCACTGCACTCTCTGGACAGAGAGCTCTCATGTTCCTGGTATCTGGTGGATCCACTCATCCAGGTTAGGAGTCACAGCCTCATGTGCTTCTAACTACCACTGGGACCAATTTGGCCTTTACTTTCCACATTCATTCTAGTTCCTCCTTCAGGTTCTGATACTGTGGGATATCTAGGCAGATGTAGCTGATCTGTATGTCTGCTATGGTACATGCTGGTAATTCTGCCCCATCAGTCTTAACTACTTTCCTTCTCTGACTACATCCAATCAAACTTCTCCAGTCCAAATGACATCCCAATATTGTCACTGCAAATTTGTTTCAGGTAAATTAGTGAGTCAGTGTCTCATTCACTTTTAAATACAACTTGATCTCATTTATGTAGAGGAGATGGTTGATGGTAGTTCCACTCTTGAACTTGTATTCATATCCAGTTATTGTGATTATCTGGCTGAGGGGATTCAAGCCAGATAGAACAGCAGCAGGAACTTGATGTATGCCACACTTGATGGCCACCTATTTGAGCTGTGTTAACTTCTAGTGTTGTCCTTCATAGTCCTAATGAGTTCTTGTGGAAAATGTTTAGTGTCTTGTTGACTTCATATAGTGCCAGGCATGTGGCTACATTAGCTTCTCTATTGTATCTCCTAAGCCAGTGGTAACCAGTGCTGTGAGCTTTTATTTAGCAATTTCTAGGGCTTCAGATGGAATCAGACCCTTGTATTTTTTTTCAGTAGCTGAGTCATATCCTTAATCTTACACTCTTTTATAATTCCACCAGCTGACTAACCTCTTACCTTGATCTTAGCCTCTAACTTCATTTTCCAAGGAAGATATACTGCTGAACATAACCAAGCAGGAGCTACAGCATATACCAATTGGTTTGGGTAATGGTAGTAGTAGAGATTGTTGTAAGGGCTCAATTGACATCTTCTCGCATACTATTTGATAGTACTTCTCTACTGAGCTTTGGTAACCAGTCTCAAGGGTTGATTGTAACTAGCTTATCCATGATCTGCCTGATATCAACAGATGTGTGTTCTGTAATGGAGAAGTGGCAATAACATTCCAGCTTTAGGTCTTGGGAGCACATCTAGTTGTTTTTCCGTGTTTTTCTTGAATCTGGGATGTAATATTTATTTGGTTTGTCTCAAGTTGTAAGACAGCTTTGTCTTCCTTATGTTTCATATATCACCTCTCATTAGGTCTGCTATTCCACCAATTCCAGGTCTCTTTGTCTTATCCATGTATGGTTTGTTCCAGTAGACCACTTATCACCAGATTGTCCTGGTTACCCAATATCTGATATGGACCTTGTTAATCAGGGCAGTGTCTAAGCTAGCATGAGTTTCCAAGTTTATATCGCCTGAGGTAGGCAGGTGAACACACACACACAAATGTATCTAGCTGTCATTACATCTTATGGTAGCTACTTCAATTATTGAACTATGTGCTATATGAAAAAATATTTTTTTATTTGTTCTGAAACTCTTTTAGTTCAAATTCAGTGAATTTGTTTTGATTCCAGGAGGTTATCCACATTAGTCATGAATCAACACATTGATGGCTAGGTGACGCCTATAAATCTCTAATGTGGACAGCTGCCAATGTTATAAGCTAGGCCTATTCACTTTTTCCATATCATGCATAATAATAGACCCCTTTCTCATAGGAGAGCTTCAGCCTTTTGATCATTTTGGTTGCCCTTTTCTACAGGTAAACAATAATCATTATTATGAATTCTTGATATGTAGAATCTAAAATTATTTTATTGCACTATTGACTACATGGAAAATCTAGCTTTATTTTCTATATATTTTCATGAGCTGTTAATAATTTAAAAAAATACTGAGTCTCGTCCATTACTTTATGATTCCACTAACCTTTACTTGCTTACTCTTAGTTCCTTAAAGCATCTTGGCCTATCATATAACCGCAAACCCTCTGGGTAGGTAAGATCAATTTTGCTTCTTCACAGAAACAGACAAATGATGAAGACTTTGTACATTTGAAAGCTTGAAGCTTTTTTACACCCATATTCTGCATCCAAAATCCAGAAAGTCCACACTATGCACCATTAACTCCGAAAAAAGAATCCATGTCTGCAAAACACTGCCTTTTGTTAATTAAGCCTCTTCTTGCTGGAGAAATGAAGAATCATTAACTGCTGATACTGTCCCAAGGGTATGGAGTTGTCTGCTATCTCAAGGGATACTATGGATAAAAACTGTTTATTTTCCTATCTTAGTTAATCCAATTATTTTAATAGAATAATGCCTAAGGAGGTTTGGCTAGAGCCAAATGAGAGAAAGATGGTGCAACTGCTGCCCTTCTGGGGTCCTTTCTGAAAACTTGCTCAAAGCATTTCAATTCTGTGAAGTGCAGATGATGTCATTAAACATTTATTCCCCTGTCAAAAACTAATTGAAAAAAAAATCCAGGGATCTGCTTTTGTTTAGCAGGTTTCAAGATCTTGACATTATAGAAGACAAGGCTTCAATTTTTATGTGTGAGTTTTTCCATATGTTTTATAGTCTGCCAAGCCCTAGCAACTATTTGACATGCATGCCTTCTGCAAAAGAAGGGAACTTGAAAGAAGAAAAGAAAATAGAATCCCAGAATCATAAAATAGGAAATGGCTACCAAATCCCTGCTCACTGTAGGAATTTAAATCAAAACCTATCTAGTCTCCACTAGAACACATTAAGTGAAGTGAAACTTATTCCCAATATTTTACAGTCAATACTTTTCAAAATCTTAACTAATATGTATTAAGCATCGATCATCAATTTTTTTTTTGCTTTAGTTTGTCCAATGATATAAATGAAGATATTTTCATGAATGTGCATTTTGAATTAGAGTGGTAAGTTGTAATCAAAATCACTGGCCATAATATGTGCATATGTGTGTAAAGAGAAAATATAGGTTATAAGTTCCACTATAGGTTCCTAGTAAGGAAAGGAGCAACATCCCTGCCCAGGTAACGGATGTGCCTTCCCCTTTCAAGAAATCCTATATATCAGTCTTTTCCAACCAACTTTTTAGCTTATCCTGGCACTCAAGCCTGGAATAAGACTATGATCAGTAAAGAAAAATGGGCCTTTTGTTTTACAAGTAGAACTGTAATTTGGGGAGGTTTTGAGAGTTCAACCTTTATGACTTGTGGACTTCAACTCCCAGAACCAAGGTTGCCTACCACTGTTCTAGTCCAACCCCTGCTCAAGCAGGAGACCCTTTAATATTTCAGACAGATGGTTGTCCAATCTCTTCTTGAAAACCTCTAGTGTTGGAGCAATTACGTCTCATTGATAGTCATATTTATACAACTCCAGAACAATTCCAAAAATCAATGAAGAGAGGGAACCAAGGCACCTAAAACAAGATATGAGTTAATCAACATGAGAAAGCATCTTGACATAACAACACAAACTCCATTCCATGTAGTTTTGTGCATCAGAGTCACAATGCAAATACAAAAGAGCTGGAGGCTTCATTGCCACATTTATTTTGTCATTCCCTCTCTTTGGATCCCCATGGAGATAATTCAGAATGGCATTTAAGATAGTCATTCTGGTCAGTTAGGCCCAATGTAATGTTGTAAGCAGCTCTGTATCAGGTTGAAAATGGAGGATTTGTTTATCAATATTTTACTTCCTATTAAAGTGATACAAGAAACAGATTTTTGCCTGAGTACCAACCATCATTCAGATAAAGCATTCTCTGACTAAATGGACTAGGTATTCTATATTAGTGTGGAATAGCTTTATAAACATAGTGGAAATGAAGTATGATAACAAGTAAGTGAATGAGCCAGCAGTGTGCTGCAGCTGCCAAAAAGGCCAACACAGTGCTGGGCTGCATTAACATAGGGATAGAATCAAGATCACGTGAAGTATTAATGCCTTGGTATTAATTTACAATACTTGGTAAGGCCACACTTGGAATACTGCATCCAGTTTTGGTCACCACGATGTAAAAAAGATGTTGAGACTCTAGAAAGAGTACAGAGAAGAGCAACAAAGATGATTAGAGGACTGGAGGCTAAAGCATATAAGGAAAGCCTGCTGGAATTGAGTATGTCTAGTTTAATGAAGAGAAGGACAAGGGGGGGGGGACATGATAGCAGTGTTCCAATATCTCAGGGGCTGCCACAAAGAAGAGGGAGTCAAGTTATTTTCCAAGGAGCCTGACAGCAGGACAAGAAGCAATGGATGGAAACTAATCAAGGAGAGAAGCAACCTAGAACTAAAGAGAAACTTCCTGACAGTTAGAACAATTAACCAATGAAACAACCTGCCTCCAGAAGCGGTGAATGCACCAACACTGGAAGTTTTTTTAAGAAGAGACTGGACAGCCATTTGTCTGAAATGGTATAAAGTTTCCTGCCTGAGCAGGGGGTTGGACTACATGACCTCCAAGGTACCTTCCAACTTTTATTATTATTATTATTATTATTATTATTATTATTATTATTATTATTATTATTATTATTATTATTATTATTATTATTATTAATGTTTATGACTCCTTTATATGTTTGATGGTATTAATTCATAAAGACCAGACAAGGTTTGCATTTGGAGTTCTTTCATATGAAATTTTCTGGAGTTCCTTCAGTTACTGAGATTTGAAAGGCAGGATAGCATAAGCAGAAGTGTGGAATGGCCAAGCTTAAAAAAATGGCAACCTTTTTATGTTGCTGTTTTACAATAATACATGTGTCTAAGAATTCTGGGTTTAAACAAATAATTTATAAGTAAGTGAATGTTGTTTCTGCCTTTCCTCTACTCAGCTGGTTTAGCTCAGCAGTTCTCTTGTGAGAAGATAAAATTCAAATTGCTGGTAGTAGAAAAGGAAAACTCAGATGATGCCATGCAGATACATGCTCTGGAAAGTACCACAATTGAATGAAAATTAGCTGGTGTGAAGGAAAAGGTGAGCCTGCAGAGAAGGAAAGAAGAAAGGTAGAGAAGAATACTGTTCAGCATGGGAAAACCATGGACAGGTAAGCAGAGAAGAAAGGAAGTGGAGCAACAGAAACTGAAAGAAACATCTGTAGCCCTGGCAACAGGCCTATATGGGTAAGAGGTGCTGAGGGTGTCACAGCAAAGCAACTGCTCAGAAACTCTGTAAAATGCTTTTTGTTCTGGCAGGTTCTTGATACTAATAAGCTTAGAATTGCTACTTCAGCATGCTTTTCTTAAGGGATGCTTTCAAGATCTTTGGGCCACCCTAACATGTGTTCAACTTAAAAAAAACAACCCATAAATACATATGCTTTAATGACAGGTGACTTTTTTATGGGTCATTCTGGAATTGTCTCAGCATCAGTCCTTATTTTTTAAAAAGCCTGTTTTCCCTCCTGTATGTTTCTTACAACTTGTAATATAGGCAAATGCATGCTGGTTTTCCTATTGATACTGTAAGTATTTGAACTGTTAGGTAGCAAGTAGATGAATAGGAACCACATACAAGCATGCGGAAAGGTAACAGCAATCCATGTTTCTCTGTACGCTCTGCTGCGGCACAATATCCTGCTGGCCACATGATTACAGAAACATCTCCAGACAATGTTGGTGTTTGGCTTAAGAAATGGAGAAGATCACTGCCCCCTAAAGTCTGTCACAATTGTTGGGGTAAAAGGACTGTAAATATCATGATTCCTAGGCCATCCATCACTGAAGTGACACTGGAGTGTATTCGCTGTAAAAGTAGCCAAAAGAAAACATCTGGGAGCATGAATAAAGCATTAATAAAGCTAAAGGTTGATAGGGGCCAAAGCTACATAAAAATGAAGAAATGTGTTCCAACTGAAAATATTCTCCAACTATGCAGAATCTTTTTAGAAACAAAAAAAATGGAGAAATAACAATGGCTTTAATTTTAAAATTTTAAAATCTCAAATACTGTTCATCTATAAACTTCTGTACAGCCCTCTCTGTGTGTATAGACCCCCCCCCACAAACAGGTATATATTGTAGCAGAGCCTGACTAGGACATAAAAAAAGAATTCAAATGGGATCAAAATTGCTGACCTTATCTGGACTAGACTGATAGTAGATACCAGCAGCAAGTAGAAATAAAATTGACAATTCTTTATTCTCTGGGTGATGAGTGAACAGAGAAAGCAGACATGAGTTTGCCAATGGATTTCAAAGGAAAGAAAAGATAAGGAAGAAAGAAAAATGAACAGAGAAAATCTGCTTTCTGGTGGATTTTGTTATCAGCTATGACAGGGGTGTCAAACTGCCGGCCGGATGCGTCACATGGAAGCTGCGCCCACCCCAGCTCCGCTAAGAGAGAAAAAGTCATGATATGTTGTGTCGCGGCGGATTTGACACCCCTGAGCTCTGAGGCACGAAGTGCCTCTTGCTGAGTAAACAGAGGTTATAAGAGGAATGTAAGGCACCCAAGTTCTAGGAATAAGAGATAGTTCAAGTACAGAAGGGTTGCTTAATCTTGGGTGGACCATTTAATTTTGTATCCTTTTTCCAGAAGTTGAGTGTTTTTGTGATTTTGTGTTCATCAAATTAGGGATGAACTGCGTATAAAAATTGGTGAAACGTAGAAAATCTTGAATATCTTTCAAATTTCTAGACACATATTATGTGACTATGGCTTATACCTTTACAGGATCCACTTCTACTCCTTTTTTTAGAGATCAGATAACTAAAGAGGTCCAACTCAAGAAAATGCACATTTCTTCTCCTTAGAAAATACTTTGTGCCTGCAAAGGATGTTTTGTCCCATGTACAGATGGGCCTTCTGAAAAAAAATCCATATATCAACCAGGTATACCACTACATTTGTGTCTAAAATATTGGGAATAGTTCATTGTTATTAGGAAGCTGGCTGGGAAGCTGGCCAATGATGATCACATGACCCTGGGATGTTGCAACCATTACAAACACATGTCAGTTGCCAAGCACTCAAATTTTAAATCACATTATCATAAGGATATTATAATGGTTGTATGTGTAAAGACTAGTTATAAGTAACTTTTTTCAGTACCTTTATAACTTTGAACAGTGCTAAATGAATTGTTGTACTGTAAGTCAAGGACTGCTAGTAACTTTCTGGAATGCAAGGGATTGCCTTACATATTGCACAAGGGTTGCACATTTGAGAGAAATCTGGACTATTTTTTGGCATGGCTCCATTTCAATCTTTGTGAGTGATGAATTTGGAAAATGTCTAGTTATTAAGAGTTATGGGAACACATAATTAATTTCACATTGGGCTTCTTGAATCATCAGGACTGCATTTTGCATGCCGGATTCTATTAATTAAAATTACCATTATTCCATTGTCAATGGAATGTTAATGAATGTTAGTATTCTGAACAAGTTTTGATCAAGGAATTTCGTCTTCTGTTCTCTAATAGGCAAACACTCCAAGAAATATCATCTCACAGTTTGATTGGCCATATGGAACTGATGGATTATGTTTCCATGTTGATTGCTAATGGAAAAAAACAGTGAGGAATGTTAGAAGGAAACTGCACATAAAAATGGATATGAAACTTCTTCAGATACATTCCATCAGGAATTTTATTTCATGTATAAGGTGAAAAATTGTCCTTCTATAAAGTAAGACAAATGATCACTTACTTCTTTCTTTCACTTTTTCAAGTAAAACTTCTTCTCACTCAAGAAGGCCATGTATCATATAGATTTGTATTCTCCCTAAAAATCACATTATATGAAATGGGAAGCCAAATACATTTGCTAATCTAATCAATAAATAAGAGATGTACCTATGATGATGCTGAGCTAGTTTCATCTGATTTAAAATCTTCCAGTTTGCACCATTGATTTATTTATCCATTCATTTAGGGGCCATCCAGCTCCACAAGATTCTGTGTTGGTCCCAGCATTAAAAGTAATAAAATAATAAAAGTGGGAACAAAGATTGTGACAGAAATTACTTAACCAAATAAAATTGAATTCATTTTGAAAGCTGAAGCAGCTTTGTTGGCACTGTACCATCTGATTTAAAACAGAAACATAGCCAGAGGTTGTGTTTTTTGGGGAGCTTTTTTTTTTCCTGTGACAATGTAGCTGAATAAACTTGTACTGTCATTGGCAAGAATTCCTATATTGCCTTTGCTCCTGACTATGATGTCCAAATAACAGATTACTTTTACCTTCCCTGGTTCATGCTTAGAGGCTCAGCCTTTCCTGGACCCTGAAGTATCTGCTTATCTCTCACCTCTTCCATTCCAGCTGTTTACTCCTTGATGAACCTGATGGAATAAATATCCAACTCATATTAGTCAACTGAACGGATCCATGTTTGGCTCGTATGGCACTTCATCTTCTTTCAGGATCGCTACATCTTTAGGACTGAAAATCACATGAGTGGCTTCAAAATAGTTGGAGAATTGGGGACACTGGGCAATGTGAAAATGCTCACATCTAAAGTATGGACTGCTTTGTGTAGGTTTCATGTTAACCTCGATGTTGTCTTTTTATGCTTTATTACTTAGTGTGATTTGCAAAAATAGCCATTTATGGTTTAATTTTGTTAAAAAAACATGGGATGAGTCCAGGCTACCTGAGAAACTGGCTCACCCTGATGGAATTAACCCACCCTGTGCCAGCAGAAGGGGCATGCTGTCAGCCAAGGAATTTTGCCTGGTGGGGTCCAGAAGAAGAGCCTTTTCTGACATGGCTCCTGCCTTCTGGAACATCTTGCTCCCTGAGATCAGATCCTCTCCCACCTCTTAGCCTTCCAAAAGGCCTTGAAGATATGACTATGCCAACTAGCCTGAGGACTGATGGGGGTTTGGCATGTTGGAGGTGGCTAATGGAGTCTAGGACACCCCACCTCTTCTCTGGGCAAACTTTGCTCCCTCCTATTCATCCTGCTTAGTTTTATTTTAATTGAATTTTTAAATTTAATGTCTTTATTGCTTTAGATCCTGAAGTTGAAACTCATATACTTTGGCCACCTAATGAGAAGGAAGGACTCACTGGAGAAGGGCCTAATGTTGGGAAAGATTGAGGGCAATAGAAGAAGGGGACGACAGAGAATGAGGTGGCTGGATGGAGACACTGAAGCAGTAGGTGTGAACTTAAATGGACTCCAGAAGATGGTAGAGGACAGGAAGACCTCAGGAACATTGTCCATGGAGTCGCAATGGGTCGGACACGACTTCGCAATTAACAACAACAACAATTCAAAGTCTATAAGTTGCCTAGCATTGCCTTTGGCAAGATGGGTGGCATACGAGTTTGATAAACAGATGACGGAGAGATAGAGAGACAGATGATAGATGATAGACATATACATACATACATCTTAGTGCAATGTGTTAAAACCCAGTGATGGGATCTGGGAGGACTAATAGAAAAGACTGGTTAGTGATAGAGGAATTATTTCAAGCTCCGCTTGAATTTTAAAGAGGAAAGCGATTTTGAATTTTGTGAGTTAGAGACTTTTCCATATCAATTATCCTTACCTCTGTTTCAATTAGACTGTATCACAATATTGCATAATTATTGCTGATAATAATTGTTTTATTGCCATTGGCTTTTTTGAAAATTTACAGCATGGTATTTTGCTTATATATACTGATAGCTACGCAAGATCAGTCTTAAGAGCTTTCATTATCATCAAGCAAGCAGAGTCACGAACGGCTGTAACTCAGTGCTATTTTCAACTTGAGAATTCATTGAGGAAGAAATTAGATTCTCTTCTCTATTATTCCTTAAAATAGTTCCCAGCTGGGCTCTAACACTTACACTGGAATTCAGGGCTCATTCCTTGTTCATCTTAAGCTCTGCTTAATTTCTAGGTAATCTCTTTAGATCACATTTCCTTGCTCTGGGCAATAAATTGGCAAGTATTTCTCCCTGGTTGGTAACGATTACAGCTATTCTTTTATAGAATAAATGTTACCAGTGAACTAAGTGTGACATGTTTAAAAGTAAACACTCACTGTACAGTACTGCCCTTTTGCTTAGTTAGAAACAATTTGAGCACACGGATGGTTAATAATTCCCGATGGTACTAAAGGATCTTAATATTGGTATTGCACCCTTCCAAATTCTTATTAATCAGTATGGACTAATAGAAATCTTCCTAAAGTGTATGGTTAGAACTCCTTGTACACTCCAGCTCCCAAAGTAAAGAAAAATAGAAACATTTGCCATCTGCTTAAGATATTTCAAGTTTCTCTAATGAGTGTTTTGGTGTTGCTGAACCACTAAGGAATACATAGCAACAGCTGAAGTCTCTCTAGGGCATGTTTCTCAACCTTGGTAATGTTAAGATAGGTGGACTTCAATTCCCAGAATTCCCCAGCCAGCATTAGCATTAGAAACACTGATCTAAATTGTGTATTGCAATGAACATGGAAGTTCACTACCCATAGCCAGGGAATACACTGTGGTTGTTGTATGCAACAACAAAAAAAGGTTGTGTTGATGGAAAAGTCTTCATCATGGTTCAGTCCAAGCCGGGAATAAACAAGATGGCGACTGCTTTAGAAAGAAGGTTGCAGTTTATTGGAGAGGAGAGCCAAAGAGAAAGATAGCTCTGGAAGAAAAGAGAGAGAGAGCACATGTAGGAAGTGGATTTTTATACCCTCTGGAGCCTTTTGTTTGGAGTTGTTTCCTGTTCCTGTTTGAGGCTTTGTATTTCCTGTGTCATGTATTCTGACCTGAGTCCGGGTGTGCCCTTTGGCATCTGTGAATTAATCCTATTATGTCCTGTCTTAGATTTTGGGTGGGATATGTAGATTTTAGGTGTCTTTGTCTTCTTAATCTTCTAGCTGTGGGCCTCCAATCTTTCTGGATTATTTACATCTGCATTTGTACAGAGCTAGTTTCTGCTTGGGGGAGGGAGACTTGGGGCTATTAAGAAAACTAGGCATGCTTTTCTGCTGCTTTAAGATCCATTGAGGAAATATATTTTTCTGCCCTTTTAATATTTCCCTCTCTGGGGGGCTGACTTCCCACAGTTGCTTTTAAAGATAGATTTTTGTATCTTTAATGACAGCATAACAAATGGCAGAAGGCAAGTGAAGAGAAAAGGGTAGGATATAATCCTAAATAGGTTTACTAGAGAATAAGCCCCATTAAAACAGAGCCAGTTTGGTGTAGTGATGACAGCACCAGACTAGAAACTGTGTCACTGTGAGTTCTAATTCCATCATCAGCTTGAAGCCAGTTGGTTTCTATGAGCCAGTCATTCTCTCTCAACCCTCAGGAAGCAGGCAACGGCAAACCAGTTGCAAAAATCTTGCCAAGAAAATTACATGGATTATCCAAACCATTGCCCTGAGTCAATACTGACTTGAAAACACAAACACAAAAACTGAAAAAGCAACCTAAAATATGCAGTGCTGCCCATCTACGTAATTTTCATACTTAGCAGAATTTGTTGCTTTGAACAGTGAGGTGAGTGGCATATAAATTTAATAAATAAATACATATTTACATATATATATATTAAAAAATCACTTAATGGCAGAAATTTAGAAACGTTTTTAAAGAGTATCTATCTATCTATCTATCTATCTATCTATCTATCTATCTATCTATCTATCTATCTATCGCTATCTCATATCAGACTATGCCCTCATGATTTACCTTTTTCTCCAAATCATGATTATATTTCTTTTGAAAAGGATGTTGTTGTATAATTCAAACTTTTCTGGGTAGCATAGGTTTGGGGAAACTTCTCCAATGAATAGCTTCCCAGTATTTGAAAGGCTAACAAATGTTAATTTTTGAGAAATATTTCCTCTGGCAGATGCATCTGGCAGTGTGGATAATAGGATAAAAGCTCAGGGCAAAGTCTTTGTTCCCTGTATGTTTAACAAATGCTAACTAACTACTCCTCTTGAATGCATCTAGTGAAGGAAAAGCTTTGTTCAAAGGTGCCTGATTATTTTCAGAGAGGCCAAAGAGTTGCATGCAGCAATTTAGAGGCTACTTTACTCTTAGGAAGCTGCTTAGGACACAATTCAGCAAGGATAATGCTCTGCTATCCTGGCAGATGAAAGGCCGTTGGCCTAGTAGTTGATTCATATGCTTCTTTGTCTTGTGAGTAGGAGGGATGATGGAGGCCTGGTTGGTCAGAGGCTGGAAGAAGATGAGATAACAAGCAAGAAAATGAAGAAATGGCCATGAATGTTATCTTTCAAAATTCAAGCTGAATGACAAAGTAACACATGAAAAATCTGGTTTGCAAAGTCACATTAAATTTGGTCTGACAAATATTAATATGAAAAAAACCCAATATATAATGTGTATAACATCTGATTGCAAAATGGAATGAATTATGTACATTTACCCTTCCAGTAGTTCAACCTGCATATTAAGTTTCTGGCAAAAGTTAAAGTGCAGAGATTTGATTATTCTGTGGAAAGCTCTGGTGTCAGGGAGATTTTCAGACTGAAAATCTGTTTTTAAATAAAGGAAAAACTTAGGAAAGGTAGCATTTATTTAATTACATATACTGTATAAACCTAATTTTAAAAATATGTACTTCAACGCTAGAAACATTAGAATATGTACTATAATGTTTACATTGTTGAGTTAGTAATACAAAACTAATATTTTGTTCATTTACAGTGATTAGTCTAGTAGTTAAGGCATGAGGTTAGAAACTGGGAGACTGTGAGTTCTAGTTCTGCCTTACGCATGAAAACCAGCAAGGTGATCTTGGGCCAGTCACTTAAGCTAGTCCAAACTCATCTCATAGTTTTGTTGTAGGAGGAGAAAAGAGTATAAGATATGTTTATCCCTGACACAATAAGGGGTATGTGTTTTTGTCCAGGATAAAAACTTCCTTTTTCTTAAACCACAGTTATTCTTTCATTTCTTCCCACCATCCATTCTCTTTCCTACTGATCCATTTTAAAATGGCAGTTTATTCTTGACTTACTGAAAAATGGCAGCAGCCATTTTATGTATTATGGTTATGTATCATGTCTGAGGGGGAAAAAAACTGTTGCAAAGGTTGAGAGTTTTACAGGGGATGTCCTTTCGGAGTTGCTGTGTGTGGTGGGAGAGAAAGAGGCTGAACTCTGGGGTTTTTGATTATGAGATATCTCATGATTCTGGCCTTTCTAGTCTCCTGCACCACATTTTTGACTCTGAAGAAAAATCATTTTTCAGCTAAGATATTATATATACAGTGATGATATTCAGTTATATATTTGCACCCTGGGCCAAGCAGAAGAGGTAACTGAGATTCTGACCCAGTGTCTGGAGACTGTAAGGGTCTGGATGGGGAGCATCAGGCTTAGAGTTAATCACAGTAAGATGGAATGGCTATTGATTCAGAAGCCAACTAGTCCAATAAAATTCTGCTTTTGGTACCAGAACTTAATGTAGGTCTGGAATCTAGTCATCTTCCTGGACTCACAACTCCTACTGAAAGAGCAGTTGGAAGCTATGGGCTAGAGAGCTTTTTTATAGTTTTG